ACATAATAAATAACATATCTATTAATTAATAAAATTGATATATTATATGTTTCTTATAGTTTTTTATTTATATTTTATCATTAAAAAATTGTTTTTTGTTTATAATCATATTTCATCATAGTTACTGAATATAAGATGTCTCAAATGTGTGATTATAATAAGAGTTGATTATATATTAATTAATAATAATTTTTATTTATCATATATATTTTCATCAACTATAATTTTATATTTAGATTTAGTATTATTAAATATAATTCATTAATAGTAAATATAGCAAGTTTTTATTTTTATTGTAAAATAGTTTTATTAAAATTCAAACTAATTTATCAATAATAAATTTATAAAATACTTTAATACATTTTATTATAATAATTATAAAAATTTTATTAATTAAATTTATATTAATTATTAGTTTAACTATATGTGAAGATATTTTTTTTAATTAATTTTTAAAAAGTTTTTTTTTAGTTTTTTAAAAGTAATTCTTAAAAATAGTAAATCAAATTTATAAATATATTTTATTTATAATTTTTTTGCTCTTTTATGATAAGCATTTATAATTTATCAATTTAAGTAATTTTTTATTCAATTAATTAAATCATTTCTTTTTTAAATATTTTAATTATTTAAATAATCTAGAGAATTTTTTAATTTCAACTAAAATATTATCATATACAAATAAACATAATAATAATTAAAGAAAATAAACAAAACCATATGTTGTTAAATAATCGATTAAATATTAAATTTTTTTATAATATAAAAATTATAATAATCTTTTTACAATTTAACTATGATTTTAACTTATCAAATATTAATTAATTATAATATTTTGAAATATTATTTCAGATAGGTGTTTAAAACTTTTTTGCTATGATTAGCTTCATTTTTTATAAATAAAATGATTACAATATCACAATTATTTAAATTTTAAAAAACATTAAGTATTATTTTTAATTATAATTATGAAAAAAAAAAATTCTAAAAATATAATTTATAAAACTATAATTTCAATTTCCATTCCAGTTTCATTAATAACATTCCAACAGAAATAACTGTAAATATGTAACCAATAATTATAATTTCAGCTAAAAAACCTGAAGTATAAATTGTTCTAAAAGATAAATTAATCAATCCGGTTAAAATGTTTGCCTACACAATGGAATAAAGTTTTTTTTTTTTTTTTTAAAAAAAAAAAAAAACATTAATATTTTTTCGAACCTTAAATAATAAAGGACGTTTATATAGTTAACTTACCACGAGAAAGATTGTTAATCCATTATCATTTAAAGCTTCAACTAAATTAGGCACGGTTTTTTCATACACCTTCCAATAATTTGTAAAATAATATAATTCAACCGCTTGAAATAATGAAAGGAAAGTCGTATTAACAGAAATCACCCAAAAAACATAACTTAAATTGGCCATTTGTCTTGAAACTTTTATATTTGATATTAAAGTAAATACGAATCCCGTCCAAAATAATATTGACCAAGAAAATAATATCATTAATAATTTTTTTGGTTTTGGTTTCTTTGTTTGACGATTTTGTCTGAAAGCAAAATATGGATCTAATGGTAAAACGTAATGTCCTATATCTAATGCAAATAAAAATATTGACAAATATCCTATACGAAAGGCGAAGTTCAATTAACGTCGGTTATCGATTGAAAGAATAATCGAGACAGTTGATGACATACCCAAAAAACTAGCTATCCCTTCTCTATTTGCATTAATAATGTTTGTACGAGGCGCATTTTGAATATAATCCTCAAGTCCAAATCTCCAAAGCGCGATTTGATAAACTGTAAGAAAGAATTTGAAGTTGAATTTCAAATTCTAAAAGCACACTTTAAAAACAAAAAAAAAAAAAAATTTGCATACAAATAGCAATGAACAATCCCACAATCGAGAATCTAGTATATTTTTGTAAGGACCGACAAAAGGTAACAAATATAGGAAGGAATCCAAGTGTAAAAAAGAAATTCCAATGTACTCCATATTCGGTAACATGTTCCTGTTCGAGTAAAAAAAAAATTTAATCACGTAGCAAAGAAATTAACAATCTTAAATAAACATTTATTCAAACCGCTGAATGAGCTGTAGTTTTTCTTGATTAATGTACCTGATAATCAACTCCTTTTACCATAATTAATCTTATGAATCCAAGTGATAAAATCGGAAAGGATTGCTTTACAGCCTTTACTAGCTGCCCTTTCAGTGGTTTAAATCTATTCTCGGGTCTCTTTAAGAATGGTTTTGCAGCTACGATGCCTGAGGAAAATACAAAAGATCCAACTCCCAAATCCATCTATTCTCAATGGCGAAAAAAGAAAATTATTTTATATATATATATATATATAATTTTTTAAAATAAAAAAAGTTTTATAAAATTATACAACTTACTAAAGAAGTTCCAAATGTTTCAGATTTTGCAAATCTTCTCGGAAAAACAAAAAAATCAACCGCCAAAATGGATATACAAGTTAACATCATCATGCTAGCTCTATAAACGCTAAGAAAAGGTTTCCTATTATTTAATTTGATTTTAGAATTTTCACCGTCAATTCCATCCAATCCTTCTTTAATTAGCAACCCTTCCAAACCATCTTCGTCATCTGATCCTTTTTCCCATTTACTCTTTTTCTTTAGCGCCTCTTGTTCTTCTTTAGTTGGCTTTGGTGCAAATTTAGAATTTATAATAATCGATAAAGAAATAAGTGAAAAGTTTATATAAAAAGCGTAGGAAGACAACACAGTACAGGCAAATACACTTGGTAGTACTATGATCATGAATTCTAAAATTAAAGTTCCTATATCATTTGCTGCATAATTAAATACTTTTGTATACTTTGCTAGAGCTGACCAAAGAATATACGATGACTGTGATTTGAAAAATCGAAAAAAATGTTCAATTTTTTTTATTTGTTTTATTAGATATCAAAAGTTACAAAAAATAAATAAGAATGCCTTACTAAAATAACTCCGGTGACAAAGTTAATTTCCCACATAGAGCCACCGCTGTGACCAGTAACCCAATCTTCCTTTTCTTTTTTATATGCTATTTCATCGAATTCATCCATTTTATTGATTAAAAGCAAAACTTTTTTCGAAAAAGGATCAAATCAATCTTGAAAATCTCCACTATATATTAATTTTTTTTTACGTGACACAATCTAGACATGGTGTCACAACTTCATTTTGCAAAAAGTTTTATTGGACTAGCACAAATTTTTAATTTGAAAAATACATATTTTATCAAACAAGATCACTTTAATTCAAGGAATAGGTATCTTTCTACATTAGATTTACCCTTTTCGGTTTCCAAAGGTTCAAATGCACCAAAATGAGAGAGAAAAATTCTAGGAAAAAAATTTTTCAAAAATGATCTTTGACAATCCACAAATTTTTTATCACATTCATCAAACTTGAATAAAATATCATATAATTTAGAAGGGGAGATTACGGGAAAACATTGTACGGATCTTTTTTTATCAACAAAATTATTATGTATGACGTAACCGTGAGTGATGGAATGAGAACAACCATGATAATAATCTTTTTCCACATCCAATCCCGTTAAATTTCCTATGGCCAAGATATATTCAAGATGTTTTGATAACAACGATGCAGCGGCTTTATGAGATAATTTTTGAAATTCTTGTAAAGAGTTAAATTCCACCAAATTATTTAAGACAAGTTTGGAAGATTCTTTATAAACATATTTAAACCCGTATTGATCGGCCAAATTAAAAGCAAGTAGCGGATTCTCGGCAAAATGCATTTCCAAGAATTCTTCAGACGCTTCAATCACCATGCTGATTTCATATTTATCACTAATTTCCAATAATGATTCAATATTTTCCCAAGAGATTCGGACGTATTTTCTTGGATAAATAAAAGTTAAAAGGTTTTCGAAAACCGTGGAGGAGGTATTAGTTAAGGTGATGCAAGAGAGGTTATCTTTGTTTTCGGAGGGAACGGAACAAGAAAACATATCTTCAAATACCCTTGAAGCCATTGCCAAAAAACTTCGATGAAGACGAAATGTGGTATCATTTACGTTCACCAATAAATCACCATCTTCATAATAATGAACGACACTTCGATTAGACATGTTTAAATGAAAAAAAAAAAAAAAAAAAAAAATTTGAAAAAGAAACAAGGAATAAAACGATTTATTTATATAAATAAATAATTTATATTATCACACCTCAAATTTAGAATAGATTTACGTAATAAATCAAGAAAATCATCACCAAATTAACCAATTTAAATAGTCAGCTGACGATCCTTCCAAGAAACGACTCAAAGAAAAAAATTTTAAAAAATGGGGAGGGGGGGTTAAGAAAATACGAACAATGGTTTTTACGGGTATTTATAAATATTCTATCTATTACAGTATTTATTTTTAGAAACAAAAATTTCCGAATTAATCTTTCAATTCGA